AGATAGGCAGGGGTGGTCGGATATGGTGGATCAGCCCATTCTGCACATGCCCAACATTTTTTGATTTTTGTTTTGTGTTCTTGTGTAACAGTTTTTGGTTCAGCATGCCCTTCCAAGAACTTTCTTCTCCATACTTAGCTATGTATCTTGTTAGGATTCTACTCTTAAATTAATAACATGTTTGGGGACCAGCAGATGATATAATGGCTATGTCGCTGGACTCCCACGTTGTCGACCGTGGTTCGAGTCTCGGACCCGGTGGCTTAAATTCGTACTGGGTGTGTGTGCATGTGTGCATGCTCAAGATCCCAAGGAGAATGGAGGAGAAGGGATTGCAACATGGTCATCACCCTTGAGGGGATGATTTTCGCTTTCTGTCTCTCTGGCAAGGGCAGGCACCCTATAGCCAAAAAGAAAGAGAGAGAGAGAGAGAGAGAAAAGAAATACAATGTGTTGAATTTTTCACGTTCTGCTTTATTCTCTAACTTGTAACATGAACATCTGCCTGCTGAAGCAGCCTTCTAAAATATGATTTTGAGGGGCAATGGTGCAGAAGTAAAAGACTGCAAGACTGACTCACATTGGGTGTTTCTATGTTTGAATCCAGAGACCTCCCTGAGTATACCAGGTAGTTGCGCGCTTACAAACTGAGACTGGTTGAAGCTGGGGTGGACTGCAGCATTAGTGCCCTGTTGGAATCCTGTCTATGTCTCTCTCATTCATGGAAGTGAGGGCAGAACTCTGACTACTTTGTCCTATTCAAAAATTCTTGCCAAAAGACCTGGGGGGGTGGGGAGAGTCACACCTACAAATATTAACAAACCCCTTAAGCAGTGATTACAGGACACTCCTTACATCCTGTCCCTGACTTACTGTTTTTAAGATGAATAATAAAGCCTTCTTATCTCTGTCATTCATTTGCTAATTTTCTTTTGGAAAAAGACTCCTGTGTTTCTTTTAAACCAATACTAACCTAAGAATTTCTAAACCCACCTATAACCTACAAGTCTCTGTTTCCAGATGACCCACCTTTTTGAGCCAGACCAATGAAAGACTCCTTACGCTGATTTATAATTTTGTGTCTCTTACTCTCAGAACTAAGAACCACTGCATCTGAGCCTCTCCGGAAACACTTCTTTCTCTAGGCCTGATCACTTGACTGTGCTTAGAATAAACCATATTAATTATTATTTCAGTAGAGCTTGATTATTTCTGTCGACAAAAGAAATAAACTTTAAAAAACACATCAGCAAACGTATATAAGATTTTCAAAAATAAAATAAAACATGATTTTGTTACAATATACCCATTTCTCTTTATAGGCATTTAAATGGCTACCAACTTTTCACTATTATAAAGTCAAAAAAAAATCTCTGTGGTAAATGTATTTATATGTAACTTACTCTATGCAATTCTGATTGCTTTCTTAGAGTTGAAAAAAATTTTTTTTCATTAAGTTTTGACATAGTTTACATGCATTCACCAGAGAGAGACAGAGAAAGGAAAAGTGAGAAATCACCCCCTAGGGAGAATGGCCATGCAACAATCCTTTCTCCTCCACTTTGCTTTTGGGATTTGGGACACACACAAACTTGGCATGATTTTCAAGCCACCATGTCTGGACTCAATTGGCAATTACCCTTGTGGGAGTCCAACACCTGAAACACCACACCTGCTGGCCTCAGGATTAAAATATTTAAAATTCCTAGATAGACACTGCTAATTTGCATTCTAAAAACACTACTAATTCCTATTTCCACAAACTATTTACAGAAGCTGTCACCTTGTAATAGCATGATCAATATCTGTGCTGACTTCCTGTTATTTCTTCTTTCTTTCCTTTCTCTTTTCATTTTGTCCCTTCCTTTAGCTTTCTTCCCTTCCTTCCTTCCTCTGCATCCCTTTTCTCTTCCCTTTATTTCTACTACTTGTCAATTTTATGGTTTTCCAATGGCAACTATTTCTCTTATTTGCATTCATTTATTAAGTTGACCTTTTCACATATTTCATAGCCACTGTAATTTTTTATAGATTTTTCTAAAGTGCTTAAGGAATTTTAAGATTTATGCTAAGTTTTTGTATTTTATTCCAACATTTGTGAAAAATATTTTGAAATTTTGTTAATATTATATGTTATAAAGTTTCAGTATTCAAATTTTTGTTTTGTGATATTTCTATTTTTATAATAAATAAATTTTGAAATTTTGTCCTGAAATCATACAAATATTTACCTATATTTTTGATGCTTTATGATTAACATTTTTGGGGGGAGAGGTTTTTGCTATCAGGCGTGTGCGCTCACCAGAAAGACAGAGACAGAGAGACAGAAAGTGAGAAATCACCCCCCAGGGGTGACCACACTGCAATCCCTTCTCCATTCTTCTCTCAGGATCTTGATCATGCACGCAAACACACCTGGTGTGAGTTTTTAAGCCAGCAGGTCCAGGACTCGAACCGCAGTCCACTACATGGAAGTCCAGCGACATAGACATTACGCCAACTGCTGCTCCCATGATTTAAATTTTTACATGAAACTAATTTATTTTTCTGGAAATTATTCTACTGAGTGCTTTGCTTTAAGGCTTCAGCTTTTCTCCCAAAACAGGTAGCCAATTGCTTTAGTATAATTTTTAAATTATGTTTCCTTTGTCCAATGAATTGAGGTATCGTTTTCATCATATACATTTACATTAAAGTCTGTTTCTTGGCTGCTTATCCAGTACCATAAATCAGTCTACATATTCCTACATCAATACCATAGCACTTGCATTACCAATATTTTATATCATTTATATAACAGTTGGATCAATTTATCTATACAGAAAATTACCACAATTAAAAGGTCTGTTATGGGGGAAGGAGCCCAAATGCTGTCATGGGTAAGGCACTGCATTCTCACTTGGCTGATAATGGTTCAAGTTCTGACCTGGTGACTTGGAAATCATGCCAGGTGCCTGTCCATATGTGCCCAAAATCTTCATAGGATCATAGATGAGAAGAGACTGCAGCATGGGCCTCCCCCCTTGTAAGTGGGGTGATTTCTTACTTTTCCTCTCTCTGTCTCTCTTCAGGGAGTTCACATACACTATGGCAAAAGAAAAAGAAAGTCTGCTGCTTGCCTTCAATAGACTATGGTGAATTTAAAATACATTCACAATGGGACCAGCAGTTAGCATAATGGCTATATTGCTGTACTCCCATGTAGCCGACTGCGGTTCAAGTCCCGGACCTGGTGGCTTGCGTGTGTGCATGCATGCTCAGGATCCCGAGAGGAGAATGGAGAAGGGATTGTGGCGTGGCCATCCCCCCTGGGGGTGATTTCTCGCTTTCTGTCTCTCTGTCTCTCTCTTTCTGGCAAGCACATGCATCCTATAGCAAAAACCTCTCAAAAAAAAAAAAAATCCACAAATTCTCTGATACACTTCCCTTTACTAAGCAGAATCTAATTCTTCTCCTTTTGAGTGTATGTTGTACTTCTCAGTATATTTCTACCAAATAGAATGTGGCAGAGGTGAGGATGTGTAACTTTCTGAGGCTGGTCATAAAAAATATTATGGTATCAGCCTTTCCCTCAGATTATTCACTCTGGGAGAAACTACCATGTCCTGAGTCCAATCAGGAAGCCCTATGGAGATTTCCATGTGGTGAGGATCCAAGCCTTCCTATGAACAGCCAGAGAGGATATGATGCCTTTTGCAAAGAGCCATGTAAGTGAGCCATCTTGGGCACAGATCTTCAGACCCTAGCCTAGCCTTCACATAACTGGAACACCAACCAACATTCTCATTACAACCTTCTGAAGGACACTGAGCTTAAATTATCCAGCTAAGTTGCTACCAGGTCCATATCCTACAAAGTTTTGTGAGGTAATAAATGATTTTTGTTTTAAGTTGGTAAGTTTTAGGGAAATTTTATATGCAACAATAGATAAAAACACACTATGTTAGCAAACCTAGGACCCAGTGTCTTGGGAGTGATAGTAATAAACACAGCAACCACTAAGAAGCTGAATTTTCAGAGGATTTTATATGCACATGGCTTGCACTCCAAAATGGAAATCAGAGCACATCCTCAACAAAGATTTTAATTTATTTTTTTTACCAAATTGCTTTTTTGGTTTTGCTTTTTTAGTTTGCTATAGGGTACATGCACTTTCTGGAGAAAGGCAGAGAGAGGGAAAGTGAGAAATTGCCCTTCTAAGGTGGATGGCCACACCATAATCCCTTCTTCTTCCCTTCTTGCCTTGGGATTCTGAGTATGAACACACATGTGCCTGGAGTGATTTTGAAGCACCAGGGCCCTGGACTCAAAACGTAAAGTTAGAAGATTTACTGCTGAGTGAAGCAAGTCAGGCTATGAAAGAGAAACATTCATTGTATGTCTCCACTTCACATATACTGACTACTGGCATTCTATGGCAGAAACCAAAAGACTAGAAGATGTAGAAGCACCGAAATGGTTAGAGATACTGAAGACAGTGTGGGAAGAGGGCAGGAGAAGGGGGAGAGTATGCGGAAGGAAATTAAAGAGAAAAATAGAGGCAAGACATTTATGGGACACAGAAATAGATTATCTGTTGATGCTAAATGTATGGTATCCTGAACTGGACTGGTGTGAAGTCTATTCATGTTGCATAAATTCACTTTACAAGCTAAATGATGGATACTGATTGGATGTATAAAATAAATTAAAACAAAAACATGAATTCTGTCATATGGAATCCAGTTGCTTTAACCTCCATGCTACCTGCTGGCCCAAGATTTTATTTTTAAAAGCTTTACTTTAGGGTGCATGCAGAGAAAGTGAGAGAAACTGAGAAAACACACTGCAATCCCTTCTTTATTCTCTTCTCAGGATTCTTTAAGAATTATGTTATTTTATTTATCCATTCATTTATTTTAATTTGACCAAAGAGAGACAGAGAAAGAGAGAGAGAAAGGGAAAGTGAGAAAGCGAGGCACTGGGCCTAGTACTTGAACCATGGCTGACCATGGGAGTGTGTCCAGTGTCTTCACCACACCACCTGCTAGTCTCCCTCTTCTCAGGATTCCGAGTGCACACACGTGCACATAGTTTTCTTTTTTTGAGAGATTTTTGCTATAGGGCACGTGTGCTCACTGGAGATTCAGACAGAAAGTGGGAAATCACTCCCTGGGGAGATGGCCATACCACAATCCCTTCTCCATTCTCTTCTCGGGATCTTGGGCATGCACGCACACATGCCCGGTGTGAGCTGTAAGCTGCTGGGTCCAGGACTCAAACTGTGTTCGACTACATGGGAGTTGAATGACCTAACCAGTATACCAACTGCTGGTCCCCCCACATGCATATTTTTCAAATCACTAGGTCCAGGACTTGAACCACACAGTTGGTCATGTGGAATCCAGCTGCCTTAACCACCATGCCACTGGGTTGGCCCCTCAAAGATTCCTTTTTTTTTTAAGTCTGAAAATAGCCACTCTGTTTATTTACTGACAAGAGTACAAAAAATAATCATGGTGGATACTAGTTCATCCTTCTAATAAGTCTGTTGATCTGATCTTCCCTATTGCCAGCATCTCTACCTTCTACAAAATGGGTGATCTTTTTCTTCATTCCACCTCGTGAAGAAGATAATTTGAAGGGCCACAGGAAGTTTTGAAGTGTTTTCCAACAGTATAGATTTCAATGAATCAGATCCTCCATGCAGATGATGCCAAATTTACCAAGAGATACAGCAATCAAAGAGTTATGTCAAAGCAATTAGCTTATTGGTTTTACCATGACCACACTTGTAGATCAGTTCATTTACTGACTTCAGGTTCAGGTAACCCCATGCAATATATAGTTCCACAATTCTCAGTATGTTAATTGAGGCCTTATTGAGCTTAACAAAGGTGCCATTGAGGATCTGGTGAAGACGAAAAAGCTGCAAGGCCTTTTGAAACTTTGGGCTCATTCCATTGATAACTCTGATCCTGACAACAAACATCAATTTGGGTCCTGCAGGTACGTAGAAGTTGCCAGTTTTTCTTGTCATCCTGTCCATGCAAATCTCAGTTCTGTACATCTGTCTATATTCCTTATGATAGTGCTTAGCTTTTTCATAGGTAAGCTTCCTCCTTGCCTTTCGAAGAATCTTTTTTTTTTTTTGAGAGTTTTTTTTTTTCACTATAGGGCGTGTGCGCTCACCAGACAGACAGAAAGAGACACAGAGACAGAAAGCGAGAAATCACCCCCCAGGGGGGATGGTCACGCCGCAATCCCTTCTCCTCTCGGGCTCTTGGGCACACATGCACATGCGCCCGGCGCGAGTTTTAAGCCACCGGGTCCGGGACGCGAACCACTGTCGACTACATGGGAGTCCAGCAACATAGCTATTACGCTAACTGCTGGTTCCCCTCGAAGAATCTTTTGAACAAACTCCTTTCTCAGGCGCTTGATCTTCTGCTCCCCAAAATTCCTTCACTTTTTCTTAAGAGTTACTGGTACAGCAGGAACCTTTAGAGAGCTTTTCCTTGGTGGCTTCCCCACAGCAGGAACCTTCTTTTTCTTCTCTTGAACATCCTCCATGGTTCCAGCCAGACCCCCTCAAATATTTTATAAGTTCCCAAATTACAGAGTTCCTAAGTCTCCAATTCTGTCCCATCCTCACACATTAGTATTACAAATACAGGTATTGGTGCTGGTGGCTATGGAAACTGAGAGTACATATGTTACCTTATGAGATTTGACTTTTGTTTCAAGAGGTTCCTAGCCTCTCTTATCTGAAAAGCCATGTGTCCTGTCCTTGGCCCCAGTGCAAGATTGCACTTTCCAAAAATGGCTGTAATGACATAACCATTCCTCACATTGTGATGTTGATTCATCCAGAGATGGGTGTGTGTGTCCATCTACTTTCCCTTTGAATATGAGTGGCCTAAAACCACAGCAGAAGTGATGCTATGTGCCTTTGGGGCTAAGTCATAACAGTATACCTTCCAATAGCCCTTCATGGACAGTTGCTCCTGGAATCCAATCATCACTCTGTGAAGAAACTAAGAAGCCATATGGAAAGCCCACATATGAGTGCTCTGGCCAATAACCCTTCGGAGATCCCAGCTGACAGCTAGCATCAACTGCCAGGTAGGAAGTGAAACCTCAGTGCCTCTAACTAACTCCCACCTGTGGTTCTCTCATAACCTTCAAGTAGCACCTGTAGAGGGCACCTGGAGCACAGATGAGCTGTTCCCGTTGTGTCCTGGCCAAATCACAGACTTGTTAGTGAAATAAGTCATTATTATTTCAACACCTAAATCCAGAAGGGTTTGTTACTTGCATTGCCTAACTATAACATCCCCTGAAGTTAAACATCAAAGTCCTGACAGTCTAGTGGTTTATATTATAGGTGTCTTAACTCAATTACCAGGGAAGAAATAAAAGAAAAACATGACGCATGTATCTCCCCAGTTGAAATTTTCATATCTTAAATGTCACCTAACAGGGGAGGAGGGAAGCCAGAGTGCCAGAGTTTTTAACCATCTTTGTAGTTTACACCAGACTTTTCTATCACTGTTAATAGGATGCCTCAAGACTTTCAATGATGTTCATGGAATTTTGACAAGTGTTCAGATTTAGTTGAACAAGCATCTCTTCCTTTTAAAAGGTTTATATAGCCAAGTCTCTCCAGTACAACAGTCTCAGGGACCAAGTCTGAATCTAGATCTCCTTGCTTTCCTGAATTGACCCAAGAGAAAGCCAGAAACTGAAATCTGAACTATCCTACTTCACTTAGGGGTAAGGGAATAAGGGAGTCTCACTAATGCTGTAAATCCATGTCCAATAAGCCTTAGGCTGAGGAATCAGACAAGAGAGGGAGTAAGGGCTATTTAAGCTTTCATAAGATTTTCTCCTCTATCTTGACCCTTCATGTCCTGACCCCCACACCCCATTTCTTTTTTAAATTTCTTAATTTAATTTTACTTGTTATTATTATTTATTATTTTTTAATTTGACCAAAGAGACAGAGAAGGTCAGAGAAAGGGAAAGTGAGAAAGCAAGCAAGAAAGAAAGCAGGTCCAGGACTCAAACCATGGTCAGCCATGTGGAAGTCCAGCACCTCAAACACCATGTCACCTGCTATTCCTCCACCCTATTTCTTTAGCAGCAGCTACTGCCAGTAGAATAGACAAGGATATAATTTGAATAGGATGCTGTCACCTCAACTCTATTCTGGTGACTCTGTAGGAAACACAGGAATCTGGTAAGATACTAAAGGTTACTTGAAGAAAACCTTTATACCTACCTGGGCTTACTAGGTAGGTATTGTATAGGACAGTGGTCCCCAACCTTCCTGAAACCAGGGACTAACCTCACAGAAATGGGTGTGGGGGGAACCAGCAGTTAGCGTAATGGCTATGTCTCTGGATTCCCACGTAGTCGACCGCGGTTCGCGTCCCAGACCCGGTGGCTTAAAACTCACGCCGGGTGCGTGTGCGTGTGTGCCCAGGATCCCAAGAGGAGAATGGAGGAGAAAAGACT